CCGTATCCCGGCCCCCCCCCGCCGCGAAGGACCCCGAGCAGCGCTCGCTCTCGGGATTTCGGAGGGTGCCGCCGCCGTGCTCCGTGTTGTGCACACACGGCAAGCCGCGGTCCGCTCCCCCCCGCCCCGCTTTTCTCTTCCTAAGGAGCAGCGCTGATGCATTTCTTTCCATTGACCTGCATTTCTTTCCATTGACCAGCAGCCCCACCTGGAGCACCTGTGATTTCTGGCATGACAGGAATAAAATCAACAGTGACTGGTCAATATTGTGAGGGACAATAGAAAGCAAATGACAGAGATACATCACATTCGTTAACTATGCGATCGCCGTGACCGAGCTCCTCTGACCCAGCCAAGCTGTTGCTGCGTGCCGGCAAAAGCTGCAAAGAGTATTTTTCCAGCTGCCTGGAGACACACGGCGGTTCCCAGTCCACTGCCTTTTTTCATATTCACCTCCGGCAGCTCACGCACCACGCTGTGCCCTTGGCAGCTGCGAAGATGGCTCCATCCCCACCCCAAGGAGCTCGCTGTCTAAAGAAGTACAACTAAACAAACAGAAATGTGCGAGCACATTTAAAAGGAGAGATGTGGCCATACTGTCGCAGCAACCATTGCACCCCAGTGTAACACCACCAAGTGACTGAAAACACTGGAGGGAAAGTATTAATGCATGCAATACCTAGTATTGCAACACCAGCTTTGACAGTGGAGCTGTTTCCTAATGGAGAGGCTAAACTCCGGCTGTTGGTGAATGCCACCAATTTAGTTACATGACGCCCTTCATCGTGCTCTCAGCAAGGGAGACCTGTCTGCACTGGGCAGGTTTGTGCTGCAAGGAGCCGTTGATTAGCAGTTCCTGAACTTGCGTCTCACTGAGGTTTGCATCCACACCGAGAAGCTACCCAGGTGTTTCACCTATATTAATGCTACACTTGAGAAGACATCTTTAAGTCAGGCACAGTCTAAAATGCTTTCCCCCATGGTTGACAAAATGTCACAAGCACTGCAACCCCTCAGGTTCAAGAGTTTTGACTTGACAAAGCATGCCCACTCTTTGGAGATAGCCCACAAGCTTCCTGGGAACAGCAAGAAGGCTTTTTCTCTGCAGTTTTCGCTAGCAGTTTGCTTTAACCAACCTCTTCTGTGTTTTTACTAGCACAACCTGAAATCTCTATAGCTGCAAAAAATGGGGATGGTATGATAAGCCAGGCTGCTGCTAAAATGTGTGCCAGATAGTCTTGCTACAGCAAGTGGCTGCTAACTCAAGTGACGGGCTTGCATTAAACTGGCTTTTTCCAGTGCCACGCTCTTTGTTGCTAGTTCAGAGCCAGGTGACAGCTGAACTGCTCCAGAAGAGGCAGAAAGCACTGGGACAGGCGATACGCCGTAATGTGTGAGGTACGGCTGTGCCTCCGACGGGACTGGCAAGGACACGCTACACCGCAGCCGGGGCAGGCAGCACAGCGAGTGAGGATCTTGCAGAGGTTTTTCAGTGCATTTCAGGCACAGGCTGACATTCTGTGAACTATGACATTTCCACTTAATCGGAAGAAATGAATGTAAATGAGGGATTATTCACCAAATTATTCACTGTTAGCGAGTGTTAGCAGTAGCGGGGGGGGGGAGGGGGAAGAGGTGAAGAGAAGCCAGCAGCTCTTGTTTCCTATATGCTCTTTACTTAAGAATGGATATCCCTCAAGAAGGTAGACTGTCACACCACTCCAAGGATTGAATATCTTTTTCTCTCCTTCCTTTCCTAAAACTTCTTCCTTCTGTGACTATGTTCCTTTTTCCTTGTAGTTTCTGACAGCCGTTGGTTGACACACACTTAACTTGTGGATAAGCTTAAGTGATTTTTAATCTATATTTAAGCTAAGCGATTAAGCAAACAAACAGTGCAGCTCCCACGGGTTTGTTTCTCAGGTCTTGCCTTGCTCCTGACAGCTAACAGAAGATGCAGGTTTAGTTTCGCAATGCAGCGAGGTGTCAGACATTTTGGTTTAGCAAGATTTTTGTACAGTTTTGTTTTTTTGTAGTGAAAGTCTGTCCCATTCCTAGAGCTGCTGAACTGACAGCCACGGGGACAGGCTCTGCACGCGTAAGTAGCAGGTACAGCAGGAGAGCCCCATTGCACGCTGCCTCCCTGACGTGCTCCTCTGCCAAAATCAGCTCTCTGCCTGAGTGGGAAACACACAGTCTGCAAGGCTATGTTTGGCTTCTCTCCCAGGAATTATAATTAGTACCAATTATGATGGTATTCCTCATGATGTGAATTCCCATCCACCGGGAATTAAGTGCAGAAGATCATACCCTTTTCAGGGAGACCAAATATAGATTTCAGGTATTGTTAGCATTTAGCCATTATTCAGCTGGGCTGCACTATCATATGTACCTTCTTAAATTAAACAGAAAAGCTGCTCCATTAGATTACACAGTGATTTACAGTGGAAATCAATTTATATATTTAGGCAGCATGTGATTGTCGCCACCGAACAAATTTTATACATCTGAACAGAGTCCTATTATTAATAAAGCAGTTCTTTAGAGGAAGACACTTCCTTTTCTGTCCCTTTCTATTAATTAGAGCCACCTTTCTCACTGGAGCTGTGGCAGAAGAAGTCCACCCATGGACCAAGTTAAAACAGTAACTAAGCCAATTTGGATGAGGAGGAAGCTGGGGCTTGTCTGTTGCAGTGGGAGCAAAGCTACGGATCAGCTCAGACTATTCCATGTATTTCCCCCTCTGAAGTGCAGTGTTACAATGTTGGGAAACTGTGATGCTGGGATTTTTTGCAGCTAGTGGTCCTGACTTTCACTGCCTCCCGGGCAATACTGCACCTCCAACAACATGATATTCTGCCTCCCTGGCTGATCTCATTTGTAACTTCATAATTATGTGTGGCCACAGACCAGTCTGCCTGAAACTCGCAGAGTGGGAGCCACCAGCATAGTCTTTTGCAAAGCCTACCAAACTACACACATCGGCTCAGAAAAAGCATTGCATGTTGTGGGATTTGTCAGACCTCAGTTTTAAAAATAGCAGGGCACCCTTCTTACCAGGTGAGAGAGAAAAAATTATCGGCCACTCAACACCATCTTGAGCAAACCTGGCCTTCAGCTTTACCTGCATTTGTACAAGTGGGCTGCGTATGTCAGTACACTCCCTTTGCAAACGATGCCCTCAGATCACATTTAGGAATCCTTTCACAGCGCTACCTGTGAGGAAACACGAAACAGTGAGAAATGGAGGGATGATGAAAACAGGCAATGATGCCATCACACGCTGGGTCAGCTGGGTGAGGATCTAGATTAAGAGAGGGGCTAAACTGGAGCGCAGGTGCCAGAGCAAACCAGATCCTGTGATGCCAAGAGATACGCTGAAGAAGTCAAGACACAGCTGCTGCCTGGCTGGTCGCCTTCATAATCACAAGCAATGAGACAACCAGTGCTGAGTCACCCGGCGTTTTGTCATGCACCTGAGTGTGCATCCTCCCTGGGAAAAATCAAGCGTAATTACCACTTAAAAGAAGTGACAGACAAAAGGGTGAAGACAAGAGCCTGAGTCTGGTTTTCCCTTGCAGTGTGCCTTGTCTAGTCACTGCAACCTGCAGGAAGTGATGTCAAATGCTTCTTCGTATCATTTTCTATCAACCTTGCAGAGGCAGAAATAGCCACAACACACAAGTCAGTGGAAAATCAGGCTTCGGCTATTCACGGAAAAATTACTACAGCTGAAATCAAAGGAAGAAAGATCCTAGTATTTGCTTTCCCATATAGAGCTCTTGATTGATAAGAAATCCGTAGTTTCTGAGGCCACAGCAATAAAAATACTTTACGATTCTTTAACAGCTAATGGGTATTTCTGGTGTGCACTGGAGATCTGTGATTTTGAAATGCCTTTTAGGAAAATAAATAAAAGGAGAGAAACAACGTGAGAATACAGCTCCCACTATCCTGGCCTCTGAACTGCTTTATTGCTCCTTGGAAATAAAAGCAATGCCGTGGGGGATGCACAGAGATGTTCTGGTTCTTCTGTTCACTGCCACTCTAGTTATATGCGGAAGCAAAGAATTACAACAACAGTATTATACTACAATTTAAAATTACAGAATAATAAGTTTAAATGAAATTACAATGCCACTACCTTCAAAAATATTTTCTTAAATGTTCCAAGGAAAGATAAGCACTTATATTGCACTCAGCCTCTTTCTCGGAGACAAATTCATCTCCTATCTAAGTGGCACAGGAACGAGTCCTACCTGTCAGATGGTCTATAGATAATTTAGAAGTATGTTGCCATCTGCTGGAGAAAGTAAATCTTTTAATAAATCAACTGATAAACGTGAAAAAGTGGGCAAGGTTTAAGGCACTCAAAGCCCTTTCTCTAAACCCGAAAGAGAAACAGCAAACTTCAGACTAAGGATAGGTTGGGAGACAATGCTCTGAGCTGAATTTAATTATGTCGATCAATTAGACACTTTACGTGAAAAGAGGAGTTAACACTTAACTAGAAGGGGTGAGGGAATTAGCAAGAGGAAGGCGGTAAGGTTCATATCCCCCATGTAAAAAAGGGAAAGGCAGGCAGTTAACACCAAACGGTGAGGGGCTGGGTTGAAGAAGGATGGCTAGAAAACAAGAAACTGCTGTAAGACCACTGTCTCTGCCAAGTTACCAGTTTCAGTTCTCAAGTTTATCATTTATAGATCTTCCCTGAGGTTCAGAACTGAGGGATTAGCCACAGGGTGCTGGTGATGGGAAAAAGGTTTTCTCACTGTAAAAGCATGTTTCTGTCCTTTCTCTCTGGTGCTTGTATGCTCATTTTAGGACTGACAGGTTACACCCATAGAGTTTCCATGAGGGCACTTGCTGTGCTAACTGAAGGGCAGCATGCTCTGGAGCGCACGTGTAGCATCAACAGTCCTTGGTAGTTCACTTGTGAGAAAACTTCTTAAGGTGTCAGACGAGCTGCAGTAAGCAGGTCTGCGAT